CTACCACTACCACTACCACTACTTCTTCTACTACTACTACTACTACGACGACGACGACGACTACTACTACTACGGCCATCTATCCAGGGCTCTGTATTACATCCGCAGGCCTCTACCGCACGGTGACGAATCACATCCTTCCTCAGCAGGCGTCGTCTGGGGTCTTATGGCATTAAAACCCTGAAGAGTCCCTTAATCCGGAAATCGTCGAGCCCCTTGAAAGCCTAGACACCTTTGGTCCCTAAACCCCCTTGGAGGATCATGGGATTTAGAAACTGTAGGGTTATAAATAAGATAAATATAGCTGTTTGAGAACTTAGCTACAGGCTGTCGGCAACCGCATGGCATCCCGACAGATGAGGCCTTCCATACCCTGTACCACGAAACATCCCTAAACCCTAAAGCCCCTAAAGCCCCCAGTGCCCTGGTGGATCTTTGCATGTTCTGCAGCACCTGCTTTGGGGCTGCGTTCGTTTTTAGGCCCTCGAGCTCGAGCCCTGCTGGTTGTTGCTACGGGGTCGTGATTCAAGAAGCTTACAAGGGTTTAGGGTTTAGGGTTTAGGGTTTAGGGGTTTAGGGGTTTAGGTGTTTAGGGGTTTAGGGTGGACGGTTTTTCTCAATATGAGAGGTAGCTTGTTTAGGAGGTTCCGTAGTGTCGCTCCTGCTACGAACGGTTTGCGGTTTGTGTTGGGGCCCCCTGGTTCCACTTTTGGACCCGTGATTAATGAACGCCTCTTAATCTAATTCTCCATTCTCCATTACCGATGGGAGTTCACTCACCAAGCGTCTGTATTGCTGCGTTTTTCTTGTGTGTTCGCCTCCCTCCCAACATGATTGTCAGTGCTACGGTAGTAATAGCCAGTAAAGGTGCTACTGCTAGTACTAGCTAGTAAAGGTGCTACTGCTGCTGATGCTTGTGATGGTTGCTCTTGCGAGCTCTATCGGCAGTTTTTTTCAGCTATGGCCAACGCATTCACTGTCCGATCATGATGGCCGTGATGCATACGAGGATGATGGTGATGATGGCCACCTTGATGACAGCAGTGACACAGATGTGCTTCATGTCATAATTGATGTATTCTCAGGCAAAGCCTAATCCGTAAAAAGGGGGCCCTAAGAGCTGGAATGAGGTTCTGGGGCATATCGAAGTAGAGCTATAAGGGAATATGAGTCCCAACTATTCAGGCCCCATTATGAAAACCCCCAAACCCAGTCTGGTCCCTAGAATCGCTGGAAAACGGAAGGCCTTCTGGTCTTGCTTCCCAGATTGCAGCCACCCGAACATCCATAAGAAAATCCAATCAACATCCCAGAAGCTGCTAGAGCCTTTGACCCTGACTCTAAACCCTGAACCCTTAAACCCTAAACCCTAAACCTTGGACCTTGAAAAAACCGAATTCGACCCTACGCCCTAAACCCAAAACCCTAAACCCCAAGAGCTCTTCACGGGTTAGGGGTTTAGGGTGTAGGGTTTGAATCCTAAAGTCCGAGGCCTCAAGCTCGAACCCCAACGCCTCAAGCTCTGGTCCCGACGCCCAGCCTGCATCCCTAAGCTTTGCTGAAAGCCAAGCTTATAGGAACCTGAGTAAGAAGCATAGGGTCTTTGTTAGGGTTCTTTGTAATATGGTAGATTCTGAAGATAGGGGACCTTTATAGAGTACCCAAAATGGTAGGATCCTTATTATAAGGACCCCAAAATAAGGTACCCCCCCAATTTTCGGAAACTCCCATATGAATCCTGATATATCTTTCGGGTTATAGGGTCAGGGTTTCTGAATTAGGTTCCTTTTTAGAAGGCGGGGAGCCCGGTCGAGTTGCAGAAGCGAACCCGCGATGGCGAACAACGCCTGCGGTATGTGCTGAAGCCACTGGGCCGAGGACGGTTGTTGGTTCGAGTGGTTTAGGCTTTAGGACGGGTCTAGGGTTTAGAGTTCAGGGTGAGTAGGGCTTGAGGCTTAGGGGGTTTGGGGTTTGCCGTTGCGGGCTTCCGATACTCAGGTGTACCTTGTTTCTGGATCCTCACAATCAGGATGCTACTATGGGTTCCTGTAGGGCCCCGCTGTTGTCTGAAACTTCCATTTGTTATGCAATCTGCCCGTTGCATCTCAGCCTCCTCCGACAATCCACAAAAACTCATCCAGCTGAAGAGCCACTTCGGGATTTCAGATATACTGGGTCCCTTTGTATGGAGCAACCCGTGGACTTGAAGGGTAGGGGCTCTCTGGAGCTTCGGAAGAAGGATCCACCATTGAGGCTCTTTCTGAAATTCGCACGTGTCTGCTCGCACCACAGAAGCCCCAAGGAACGATGTCCTGGACGCAAATGGGCAGGAGGACCTGCCAGATTTCACCGATGTCTTGTCGTCATGATCCTTTGGGTCCACTGACACTCCTCGTCAGTGTTGCTATTGCTCTTGCTGTTGGTCCTACTGTGTTTCTTGTTCCAGCATTGCTCTCGGATGCTGCTATCGTCACAGCAATTCTGTCACCGTTTTCACCGTTGCTACGGCCATTGTTTTCTATGCCACGAATGCTGTCATTGCTATATGGCTTTGAAGTGACCACAGCACCAGCAGCAACAGCAGCAGGGGAGCAGGAGCAGGAGCAG